ATGGTATCCAGAAGTTGCTCTGGCTAAGCCAATCTCCTGACATGAACCTCATCGAAAAGCTCTGGGCCATAGTCGACTGGCAAGTCAAGAAACAACCAAAAAAAACCAACTTCAAAGAGCGATCTACTCCAAGTTTTGAAGCAAGAGTGGGCAAAAATCCCACAATCTAAAATTGACGAGATGATTCTCACAATACCCCAAAGGATCAACGAACTCCACGAAGCGAAAGGAAGATCTACTAGATATTAATTAAATTATAAATATATCAATTCATGTGGATATGACTGAAAAATTTCATTTTTTTTGAAAAGGGGGTGTCTATTTACTTGTGACCACGCTGTGTATTACCAACGAGCTGCTCGTGTGCATGCTTTGTAAACAGTTTTATTTATATTATTATTATTACTTATTTTACCTATTCTAGTCTTAAATAAAGATCCATACTTTTAATTTTAGTTACTTTTATAATAATAAGTAAGGAAAAAATATGAATAACAAGAAATAAAGTACTTACCCAATCTTATTTTTTTTGCCCTCGATTGTCGAGTGGAGTTAATCCCCATTTTTTTAGCAATTATAGTAAAGCACTTAACAAGTTTTATTTATTTAAATAATACACCAAGAAAATAGACTAATAACATGCCAAAAGTAGACAAATTCACTTACTTGTAAAAATTTTCCTGGCTTTCTAACTATGAGCTGTTAAACATTCATCCAAGCTAGTCGTTAACTTTCCCATGGGAACAAAGTTGCTATTCAGAGTGACATTGACAGTATCTGTTCAAAACACCATGTTATATGATAGGCCATTTGATAGATGAAAACATTGACTTTCTATTGGTTATGAATAATATATAATGAAATGTAAGAGAGAACTGTCAACCAATTGTCAGTGAGAGGATGTGACATATGGGTGTGGCAGGAGGGGTCTGATTTTCTCTTTGATTGCTCTGTAACATCACAAAATTGAAGGGCATAAAAATAATGGTCTGTGTGAGCAATAATCATTTTATAGAAAGTATTTTTACATTTAATTTCATACATTTTCGAGGGGTGATGGATAAAATAGGGATGATAACATGCTAAGACAAAATTTGTCATGTGTATTACACTAGTGGAAATTCAGGATTTTTTAAAATAGTACCTTATAATAT